ATGGGAGGGACACTGGACCCATGTTCAACTGATTGCTTGGGACAAATAATGACTAAAGGATCAAGAAGTGCGGGCTAGAGGTTCAAAATAAGGGAGCCGGATGGGGACACCGAGCAGAGAACCCCGGACAGCGCCCACTGCTCCTCAAAGCTCCTTTGGCTGTGCAAGCCGCAGGTCAAGGAGCAAGCCTAGTGCAAAGACGGCCCAGTACCTCAGAGCTCTGTGTCCCTGACTGAAACTGGCACTTTGCAGGCAACAGCTCTGCTTACAATCAAACCTCATTCACCTGGTTAGTTGGAAAGGCTCACACCTGTGGCTGAAGAAGGGGCTGGACTATTTAACCTGACTACAGGAACCTGCATGCTGTGGGGGTGTGGGTTAGTAGCTGTTGGTCAACCAGGTGTGCTCAGGGTATGTGTCTTGGTGTGAGGGGTGGGTGATGATGACTTTGTGTTTTGGTGTAACTGTGCTTAGCTCTGTGGCTGGCTGGCTGTCTGGAAGGGAGTGAATTGTGTTCTAGCAGTATTAGAGATACTGTGTTAGTCTGGTCTTGCTGAAACAAAAGACAGGGCTATGTAGGAAGTGGGTCTGGCCCATGGAAGCTCATCACCTAATAAACCATTTTGTTAGTCTTTAAAGTACTGCATAGTCCTGTCTTTTTTTTCTTTTTTTCTTGGTGTGTGAGTGATGCCTGCCTTGTGCTAGGCATGCAAGTAGCATTCCTGGTAGGGAGAACCTCTCAGATCCACTGCAGTGGTGGGTGCTAATATGTGGCTCACAGGATAACTTTTTGGGGGGGAAGCAATCCCAGCCCTTACTGGAATGTATGTTTCAGTCTCCTCATCTTTTGGCTATAGGATGAAATGTGAATGGAGAGGAAAACACTTGTCTGGTGTGTGTGCTGGGGAGAGGGGGAGTCTAATGAGGGTCCTGAAGAAGGGATGTTACAATCAAATCATACAAGGCCTTTTGCCAGTTTTCCATTTCTAGGGACTGTTGTACAGAGATGGCGGTGCTGGGGGTCGTGCTGGGGCTGCTGGTAGCCTGCATAGCTGCTGCTGCCAAGGAATTGGTGCTGAATGTGTGTATGGATGCCAAGCACCACAAAACCCAGCCGGGCCCGGAGGGGGCGCTGCATGGACAGGTATGGTCCTGTCCTATTGTCACATGTCAGTCTGATCCCTACTGCCATGAGCTGAGTGACAAATGATTGAGTCACCTGGACTTGCCTTCCCTGTGGGTCTGTCCCTTCCTCTGGGTCCTCTGGACTTGGAGAGTGCAGGGGGCTGGAGGGAAGGTGTCTGTAACATGCCTGGATTGGGTCTGCTCTCCTCTGCTCCAGCAGGCTGAGGCACAGTCATGGTGCCAGTGTCATGGGGCTCAAACAAAACCTGCCTCTGTCACAGCAACCCAATAAGCCCAGGCCAACTGTGGCCCTTAGAAGTACCCAGGGGATTAACCTGTCCCTGTAGGGTTGGCTGGTTTGAAGGTGGGTCGGGGCTCTGAGTCCCAAGAGAGATCTCAGCCCGGTTAGGACCGTGGCAAAAGGCACATCCTTACAAACCTAGTGGAAGCTCTTCTCCAGATTGTTGGGCAATGGGGGCTGCTGGCTAGTCATGGCCACTAGAGGCCGGTGATGCTGTTGTGCCCACAGCATCCTGTTTGGCCTCCCTCTTCTTCTCCCCCTGCCCCCCAAATCCCTGTGGATCTGTCTCTGGCTGTGTTCACAGTGTGCCCCATGGAAAGACAACGCCTGCTGCACGGCCCAGACCAGCACAGAGGCCCACAAGGACCAGTCCTACCTGTACAGCTTCAACTGGCACCACTGCGGAGTGATGCCCGAGAAGTGCCGGCAGCACTTCATCCAGGACAAGTGTCTGTACGAGTGCTCGCCCAACCTGGGGCCCTGGATCCAGCAGGTCAGGGGTAGGGGCTGGGTGCTGGGTGGGAGAGAGCCCTGTCTTGCTGGGCTGTTCGCGGCTCCCTCTAGCGGCAGGGCCCAGCAGTTTGCTCCTTCAGCTTGAGCGCTCAGGGCTGGGGCTCTTGCAGCCGAAGGTGCCAGGTTCAATTCCCTACTGACAGTCAGTGTTCCTGTCTCTAGCCAGGATCTATGGCTTGTGGGTGGGACAGGCCCTCAGAGGGCTCGGAACTTGGGAGGCTGCACTGAGGAACGGTTTTCCTTCCTCTCCCTCCCCAGACAGCGCCCTTGGGTCCTGCCCCCCTGCTGTCTGGAGCCCCAGAGCCTGGCAGCAATGCAGAGCTCTGCTGAGCGCACCACAGGGCTGGGGTTTCTGGGGCTGATGGTGCGCAGTGGGGTGTTTGGAGGGGCACAGCTAAGGGTGCAGATGCTGCTCCTGACCAGGGCTGTGCAATACACCCAGCAGCTCTTCCCTGGCACTTAGCTGGGTGGCCTGTCGCTCAGGGGTGCCAGGAGGCTGGGGACTGGGCCTGGCTTTGCTGGGACTCGCAGTGGCACTAGATGGGGATGGGGGTGTATGCCTGTGCCTAACCCTGCTCCCCAAGCTGCCCCGATGTCACAGCCTGGTGCCCTCACAGGCGGACAGCAGCTGGCGCCGGCAGAGGATCCTCCACGTGCCGCTGTGCAAGGAGGACTGCGAGCAGTGGTGGGAGGACTGCAAGGACGCCCGCACCTGCAAGGAGAACTGGCACAAGGGCTGGAACTGGACCACAGGTCAGTGGGCAGCTGGGAGTAAACCCACCCCACCCTGCATGCAACACTCAGAGCCACTGTCTAGTTAAACGAGCTTAATTCCCAGTGCGGCTTCTCTAGTTGCTAACCCCTCCACACACCGCTAGGGCCCAGCCCCCCAGTCTTGTGGTGCCTGGGCTTGGTGTCTGCTCTGCACACTTTACTCACTACAGGTCTGTCTAAGCTGCCGTGCTGCTTCGGGATACCAGAGGTTCCCTGGAATAGCCACGCAGCAGCTTTCGACGTGTCCGCTATTTCGCAATAGAGCAGCTGTGCTGGTTCACCATCCCGTAAACCTCATTCTATGAGGAGTAAGGGATGGCGCAAACTAGTGCTTTAGACACGGCTGAATTTCAAAATGGCCTGTTTGTGGGTGCTGTGGACACCCTACCAGCGGCTCAGGAAGGTGCCTGTACTGGGCCCTAGGTATAATCTTCCCTCAAATTTTGTTAGCTGATGCCAAGGCTGAAGGCAGCTTTGGGAAGCAACCGGGGACCCTATATTGCCTAGCACTGATCTCATCTACATTCCCTGGGACTCTAATTCAGTCTCTGACTGTCAGCCCTGCCCTCAAGTGTTGTGGGGATGCACAACAGGCCTGGGGTGACAGAAGGCTCAGGGTGCATTGGCAGAGCTGTGGGGTGCAGGTTCCTCATCCTTACTAGCCTCCGTCTGTTGGTGTAGCCAGGGGTCAGTCCAGGCTGTGAGGGGTGTGGCTACAGCCCTTGCACTTCACCTGGCTGGGGAGAAGTTTCTCCCACAGCCGGCTCGCCCCCTCCTGCAGGGACCAACCGCTGCCCCCGCGGCTCCAGGTGTCGGCCGTTCTGGTCCGTCTTCCCCCGGCCGGCCGACCTGTGCGAGAAGATCTGGTCCAACTCCTACAAATACACCCAGGAGCACCGGGGTGGTGGACTGGTCCAACTCCTACAAATACACCCAGGAGCACCGGGGCAGCGGGCGCTGCATCCAGATGTGGTTTGACCCGGCCCATGGGAACCCCAACGTGGCTGTGGCCAAGTTCTATGCCCAGAACGGAGCAGACACCTCTCCTGTGCCGTGGGCTGTGCTGGTGCTGCTGCCGCCTGCTCTCCTGGCCCTGCTCTGAGCAGCTGGCCAGCGCTGGCAGCCCCACTGGTCAATACCGGGAACACTTGCTGGGCATTGCAACTCTGGTGAGATGCTAGAACCTACTTAGTCCCTCCCCCTCCATTGTCTGTGTTCTCGGGCCACACACCTCTTCCTGGCTGGAGATGCTCTGTCCCCCAGGGGAGCTGAGTTCTGCAACTGGCAGTGACTGCATGACTGGGTGTTCACTGGGTTCCAGAGCAGGACCCCACTAATTATGGTGCCTTCAGCCACTTAGCTTCTGGGGGGGTGGCTTTTGGGGAGACTGGAGCCTGTCAACATGCAACTGCTCCATCCTTAGTGCTCTGAGCTGTAGGGCTTTGCTGCTGAGTTAGGGTGAATGCTCAGGAAGGGGACACCTTCATGCTATGTACCCATCACTCCCATGCCCCCTCCCCACCCCCAGCTCTCCTGGTGGGCCTGGCTCCTATCAGGGTTTGGCTCCACTGCTCTGGTTCTAGTGTGGAGCCAGACACCCTCTGCCCCGGGAGTACCTAGCCCTGCTGTTACCATGCTAATGCTCTAGCACTGGCTGGGGCCAGAATGACCAGTGAGAGCTCTTAGCACCATACTTCAGTATGTCCACTCCGGCTGGTCACAGGTGGGGGCTGCCTGGAACTGGGATCTCCCAGCTGCTGTATGGGACTCTGGCAAAATAAACTGTCCTGTTCCTGCTCCATGCTAGTCTCCTCTTTGCTAGAAACGACCATGTCGGCTGGGTCCCCAGGGCTGGTGAGAGAACCAGGCCTAGCTCCATACTGGCCCTATGCTGACTGGGGGTAGGGGGACAGGGGTCTGAGAGGCGTTCCTCCAGTAAGTGTTATGTGGGCAGGGGGGTCACTGCTAGCCCTGCCCAGGTGTGGCATGACTTTGGATTCAGGTGGGCTCCAGAGCAGAGTTCTGCAGCCCCCCTCTCCCACCCACGGCCCCTGGCTTCCCTCATACACGCATGCCTCCCATGGCTCTCCTGGCACAGCCTGCTGGTACAACGCTACTCCAGACCTGGGCAGGGCTAAGGGCCCAGCTCTGGTCCCTGGCCACTGACTGAGCCATGTGTGCCTGAGTCACAGGCTGGGTGCAGTGACTAAGGATGTGCAAGAGACCAGCTCAGGATGCAGTGACTAAGGATGTGCCTGTCAGGGCACGGGCTGGTGGTGGTGCGGTTTGTCCTTGATTTGCATTGGGAGGAGAGCAAACTGGTGGGAGGAGAGTTGTCAAAAGAGACTGGAGGTCTCTGCTCAGAGAGCTTCATCTTCTCTTCTCACCCCCAAATTTTTCAGTGTCCAGATGGAGTGCCACTAAATACGTGGACAGAGGTTCTACTCACCCCTCCCTGCACAGGGGCTGTGGGGGAAGAGGCCAGGGCTGGTCCTCTGCTGGGCTGGTGACTGGTACAAAGTGTTTTCCTTAGGCCTGAAGGATGCTCTCAGGGCTTGTTTTCCCATTAAGCAGCAGCGGAATCGGATGCCTCTTCTTTTCTGCCCCTTTCTCAGCTGCTGGATCCATTTGGACTGGAACCAGGTTAACAGTGGGGAAGCGATTAGCCCCAGGAACCCCTTCAGCAGGGTCTCCATCACTGGCAATTGTCCACAGCAGACTGGGCTGGTTTGCTGAGAGCTCTGCTCTTGTTCAGCCAGGGAACTGAAGCCTGGGGTTGTGTCCCACAGGAGGTCAGACTCCGTGGGCCCCTATTGAGTGAGGCCGGGTCCCGCCCGCTGACCCTCTGCTCTGCGCAAGTCACCGGCCACTCTCTTTGGTCTTGCCCTACCCCTCTGTGCCTGGCATCCTGCTCTTCGGGCAGCTTGACACAGTGCAACCTGATTTCCCTGTAGCTGTCCCAGGGACTCCTCACCAGCTACAGGAGCCACCTGGCTTCCCCAGCTGGCAGGGCCAGATGAAGAGGGGTATGAGGTAGGCATCCCTTGCTCCAGTGCTGGCTCTTCCTTTAGAGGCCTCCTTGTCCCCAGGCCTGGCCCTGACTGGGGTGGGTGACTGCCACAGGTCCCACTGAGCTGCCCAGGCCTACGCCCTGAGCAGAATCACCTGGTGCTACCCAGCCTTTCCTGTGGGGCCCAAGAGGTGGCGCTGTATGCATGTGCATCTCATGGCCACAAACCCAGAGCAGCGGGGGCAGCGGCTGGAGGCTGCAGCATCCCAGAGGAATGGATGGACTCGGTGGCACGGGGCTGAGCACGCCCCGGAGCTTGGGCTGTGCCCGTCTCGCGCTCCTTCCATCACGCGGCAAGGGGAGCGTAGCTCAACTTGTGCTCTGGGCAGGGGGTGGGCTCCAGCCAGCAGGTCTAGGCTGCTGTGTGGCCATTGCTAATTCTGGTGAGATGCTAGAACCTACTTAGTCCCTCCCCCTCCATTGTCTGTGTTCTCGGGCCACACACCTCTTCCTGGCTGGAGATGCTCTGTCCCCCAGGGGAGCTGAGTTCTGCAACTGGCAGTGACTGCATGACTGGGTGTTCACTGGGTTCCAGAGCAGGACCCCACTAATTATGGTGCCTTCAGCCACTTAGCTTCTTGGGGGGGTGGCTTTTGGGGAGACTGGAGCCTGTCAACATGCAACTGCTCCATCCTTAGTGCTCTGAGCTGTAGGGCTTTGCTGCTGAGTTAGGGTGAATGCTCAGGAAGGGGACACCTTCATGCTATGTACCCATCACTCCCATGCCCCCTCCCCACCCCCAGCTCTCCTGGTGGGCCTGGCTCCTATCAGGGTTTGGCTCCCTGGCCTGATGACCAGCGAGAGCCCTTAGCACCATGCTTGGGCAGCAGTCCTGCCCTCAGTATGTCCACTCCGGCTGGTCATAGGTGGGGGCTGCCTGGAACTGGGATCTCCCAGCTGCTGTATGAGAATCTGGCAAAATAAACTGTCCTGCTCCTGCTCCAGGCTAGTCTCCTCTTTGCTAGAAATGGGATCTCCCAGCTGCTGTATGGGACTCTGGCAAAATAAACTGTCCTGTTCCTGCTCCATGCTAGTCTCCTCTTTGCTAGAAACGACCATGTCGGCTGGGTCCCCAGGGCTGGTGAGAGAACCAGGCCTAGCTCCATACTGGCCCTATGCTGACTGGGGGTAGGGGGACAGGGGTCTGAGAGGCGTTCCTCTAGTAAGTGTCATGTGGGTGGGAGGTCACTGCTAGCCCTGCCCAGGTGTGGCATGACTTTGGATTCAGGTGGGCTCCAGAGCAGAGTTCTGCAGCCCCCCTCTCCCACCCACGGCCCCTGGCTTCCCTCATACACGCATGCCTCCCATGGCTCTCCTGGCACAGCCTGCTGGTACAACGCTACTCCAGACCTGGGCAGGGCTAAGGGCCCAGCTCTGGTCCCTGGCCACTGACTGAGCCATGTGCGCCTGAGTCACAGGCTGGGTGCAGTGACTAAGGATGTGCAAGAGACCAGCTCAGGATGCAGTGACTAAGGATGTGCCTGTCAGGGCACGGGCTGGTGGTGGTGCGGTTTGTCCTTGATTTGCATTGGGAGGAGAGCAAACTGGTGGGAGGAGAGTTGTCAAAAGAGACTGGAGGTCTCTGCTCAGAGAGCTTCATCTTCTCTTCTCACCCCCAAATTTTTCAGTGTCCAGATGGAGTGCCACTAAATACGTGGACAGAGGTTCTACTCACCCCTCCCTGCACATGGGCTGTGGGGGAAGAGGCCAGGGCCGGTCCTCTGCTGGGCTGGTGACTGGTACAAAGTGTTTTCCTTAGGCCTGAAGGATGCTCTCAGGGCTTGTTTTCCCATTCAGCAGCAGCAGCAGAACCGGATGCCTCTTCTTTTCTGCCCCTTTCTCAGCTGCTGGATCCATTTGGACTGGAACCAGGTTAACAGTGGGGAAGCGATTAGCCCCAGGAACCCCTTCAGCAGGGTCTCCATCACTGGCAATTGTCCACAGCAGACTGGGCTGGTTTGCTGAGAGCTCTGCTCTTGTTCAGCCAGGGAACTGAAGCCTGGGGTTGTGTCCCACAGGAGGTCAGACTCCGTGGGCCCCTATTGAGTGAGGCCGGGTCCCGCCCGCTGACCCTCTGCTCTGCGCAAGTCACCGGCCACTCTCTTTGGTCTTGCCCTACCCCTCTGTGCCTGGCATCCTGCTCTTCGGGCAGCTTGACACAGTGCAACCTGATTTCCCTGTAGCTGTCCCAGGGACTCCTCACCAGCTACAGGAGCCACCTGGCTTCCCCAGCTGGCAGGGCCAGATGAAGAGGGGTATGAGGTAGGCATCCCTTGCTCCAGTGCTGGCTCTTCCTTTAGAGGCCTCCTTGTCCCCAGGCCTGGCCCTGACTGGGGTGGGTGACTGCCGCAGGTTCTGCCTACGCCCTGAGCAGAATCACCTGGTGCTACCCAGCCTTTCCTGTGGGGCCCAAGAGGTGGCGCTGTATGCATGTGCATCTCATGGCCACAAACCCAGAGCAGCGGGGGCAGCGGCTGGAGGCTGCAGCATCCCAGAGGAATGGATGGACTCGGTGGCACGGGTCTGAGCACGCCCCGGAGCTTGGGCTGTGCCCGTCTCGCGCTCCTTCCATCACGCGGCAAGGGGAGGGGAGCTCAGCCCTGGGAGGATGTGCCAAGCAGGGCCCGCGTGGGAGCAGTCTGTGCTGTCTGTGCGCTCAGACCCACCTGATGAGTGACGCTGCCTTCGCCCTCTCAGCTTTGCTCCCTTGGCTAGCTCTCCCGCGGCCTGGAGGAGGGTCAGCGGATGCCCTGGGCACCAGGAGGGGATGGGCCAGGGATCTGCTAATCTGAGCCATGCCACCCCATCAGCACAAAATAATGAGCCCCCATAGGTTTGACTGGGCCTGCCCTGGGCAGACAGCCTAGCCTCCTGTAGTAACTGACCAGGGCTGGCACCAGTCCATGGCCTGTGGGTCACTGGTTAATGTTTCTAAACTTCCCTCAGACAAGCTCCCCAACCCCCTGGCTACTTGTGCCACTCCGAGTGGCCTGTGTTTCCCCGTGGCTGCCTGTGCTCCATGGCAGGGCCGTTAACGCCCAGGGACAATCCC